CTTGAAGGATCAGATTGCTTTCACAGTCATGGCGTGTTGACTTGGCCATCCCTGCCTGACCATCGCCCTAGCTGAGTTCTCCCATAGACTCATGAGGCCACATTCTCTACATTTCCACAGACATGGAGCTTTCTGGGTGCCTTTTCCCAGTGCACCCTGGCCCACCCCTATCCTGAGGATGCCCTCAGCTCCGTTGTTCCCATTCTGCCTGAAACACATGGCCCAACAGTCCCCTGAAGCCCGACTACAGCAGAAATAGAGTTTCCACACTGATCAGAAGTGGTTGGCAACATTGGTAAGGGTTCAAGGTGCACCGAGCTCTCAGGCAGCCCACATGCTGGTAAAGAATTGCTGACGTGAGCTTGTTGATTTAGAGTGCAAAACTAACCCTCAGGTTGAAATTAAAATTTTTAAGTTTGAATTTCTAAACAAACAGACCTTGGGAAGGAAACCATTTTCTTAATATTTCATCACATTTTTCCTCCTTTCATGTCCCTTTAATTGTAAGACAGGAATCCCTGTTGAGAAATTCTCAAATTGTTTTGATTTTTCCATGAATTAGGCTATCTCCTTAATAAACAATGTGTTTATCTGGCACTTAAAACTGAGAACAAACAGCAGAGCTGGAATGATTTAAGCAATTATGGGCTATTAAAAAAAATATTCAGGTCTTTGGAGCTGAGATCATGGACACAGCAAGAGTTGGTGGGCAAGACCCGAAGAAAAGTCTTCACTCTTTTTTATGAAATACGTGCTTCCTTTCAGCTTCCTCTTTGAGTCCCATTTTGGAACCATCTTATTTCTTCTCCGTAATGGAGTTAGAGATAGGACGGATAAATGCCATCAAAACTACTTCTCCGCCCTGAGTTTCACCACTGGGTTTCACCACCTCCTTTGTCGGAGCCCCAGATGAGCAATGGTGCCAAAGACGGGGTTTCACCCACACCCACCTGTGGTGGAGGCCCTAACAAGGCGTGGGAGAGTCGGGAGAGTCAGAACCAGGATCCGCAGCTCAGAGCTCGTGGCTGTGGGAGACTCTCTGGCTGTGCTGCAGGATGAACCCCACTTGGGCGCCCAGCTTTGGAGACACCAGGGCCCCTGCTGCCGAACCAGAGCAGTGGTGGCCATGCTCCTACTTAGCTCCAGTGGCCAGGTGTCACTTTTGCAAGTGCCCCACGCCAGCAGCTGAGAAGTCAGAGCTGCCTGCCCTCTTCCTGAGCAGAGGGAGTGAGAAGATCTCAGCTCAGGGCCCAAAGGCACTATCCGCAGAACTCCACCCGAGAGCTATGACAAGTGGCCATGGGCTTTGCACTTCAGCCTTTCCCCACGTCCAGGAGAAAGGCATACGACCACACTGGGTTCCAAGGGCAGAGGTGTTCTGAGAACTACAGCAAGAGATGCAAGCTCGCAGTATGGAAAGAGAAAGAGGTACTACAAAGAGAGGCTGTTTATTTCTCAGGCAAACAGAATCTCACCAGAGGTTGCAACCCTAGTAATACCTGAGCAAGTTTCTTATTCATCCAACAAATATTTATTGGATCCTTCTGGATGCCAGGCACTGGAGATTCATTGGAGTACAAAACAGACCAGTCTTCTGCCTTCCCGGAACTCACATTCTAATGGAGAGAAGATAGTGAACAAGACATGTAATAGAAAAGCAAATTGCATTGTAGGTTAGAAAGTGACCAATGATACGAAGAAAAGGGAGAAGTAGAGCCAGAGGTAGAGCATGTCGGGGGAATGCACGGTAGGTCAGGCTGCAGGACTAAATGGGATTCTTATTGAGATGAGGTTTGAGCAAAGACTTGCAGGATGTGAGAATATTAGCCATGGAGCTCTGGGCAGGGGGAACCTCTGTGCCAGCGCCTAAGGGAGGACGTGTCTGATCTGGTCAAGAGTCTGGAGGAACAGCACCGAGGATGGAGCGAGGGGAAGAGGCACTGGGAGAGGAAACGGGCGGGGCCACACAGGACCTTGTAGCCTTTGGAAGAACTTGGGAACCATCACAACATCACAAGACCAAGGATGGGCATGATCTGATTTACCATTTGAAAGGATCATTCTGGCTGCTAAAAGTTTCCTTCCCTCTGCTGGGGTTCTATCAAGACCAATGTTAAAGAAGTTATTTTATAACCTCTGAATTATCCTATTTCCCTTGCACACCAGCAGCTACAAATTGAATGTCTATGGAACTCAAAAGGACAGAAGAAAGGTGGAACCTAAGTGTTTGAAAGAGGAAGCGCATTCAGCTTCTACCACATCTGCAGATTCCCAGCAGGCGCCCCACCCCAATGCTGCCCTCAGATTCAGGGAACCTTCAAAACATATGTGTACAAATTAAGGTATGGGCTCCCTGCTTCAATGATTGATCGATCATGTAATCCAGCTGTAACTATATTCTGTGCTTTTGTCAGGACTCCCCCCAACACCCTAAAAAAAAGAGGAAAAGATGGATGTTGGCTGTAGATTTTTTCCATTTTTCCATTTTTTTCCCATGGTCTAGAAAACCCATCTGTATACATGAATTGCAAAAGCATCTAAATAATTGTTAAACATTTGACACCTCGTATTGGAACTGCTTCCCCTGATTATCCAGATCATCTCAAAAATGAAATTAAATCAACCACTGAAATAAGTCAGTGGTCATGGAGTAAATAAGTAACTAAGCATGGAGTAGAAAGGCTCATTGGCACACTAGCTCAGTGAAACACAGTGGTGGGGAGTTCAAAGCCAGGGTTTTATTCTGCAGACTCCCTTCCCTGCATTCATTCCACAGCAATTGGTCAGGCCACTCATTCTCTAGGCCTTTGCCTTGTCATCTGTAATACGAGGTGTTAAATTCACTAAAAAAATCTATCAGGAGAGACCCAACTCATGTGAAGGAGCCTTCCACCTTTCCACAAGTGTTATCTTCTTATCCCTGGGTTAGTCCCCACTTCAGAGGTGCTGAGGTCTAAAACCGTGTGATTCCATGACTCTGCCCTGTATAGCTGGTCAAATAACAAGAACCAGCACTCTGGTCGGTATGTGCTCTGTGCCAAGCACTGCCACGTGTGCTTTACTTGTGTTGACTTACTTCATCCTCACCACCCACTTCTCGGGCAGGTAGTAGCACCATCTCCATCTTATCGCCTGGGAAACGGGGCAGTAAGTAATTTGATCATGGTTCTGGTAGGAGGCAGGCCAGATCATGAGCCTGAGCCACCTGACTCAGGAATCCTTGCCTTTCACTTTCTCATTCTATTGCCTCTGAGTACCCCATCTCGGATGGCAAACGTGATTCCCCGCCGGGTTCCCTCACGCCTTGTCTTGGTTGTTCCTGGAGGAGCAGGACTTGTACTGACTGTTGGCGAGGTGCCAGGCATTCTGGCCACACACAGGGACCGGGCCACCCCGTCGTCATGGGGGAGGAAGGTGGGTGTGGGAGGCAGGGTTCGTGTCAACCACAAAAGTTGAATGATGTTTCAGAATAGAATATATGAAATTGGGATTGTCTACAGAATCTTGGCCATGTTAGCCGTCGCCGCAGCTCACTCTAGTGCACCCATGCTCAGTCTCACCAACTTTGTGGCTCTTTGGGAGGTCCAGGCGGAGCTGTGTCCTCAGGGTCAGAGTGTCCGGAGGACTCGGTGTATGGCTCCAGGCCACAGCTGTAGGCATCCCAGCGTTCTTCCACACTCCACAGCCCCTCTCACTCCCCACCCCATTCTCCTCTGCCTCCCTCCCTCTCTTCTTTGGCCTCTGTTCCCCTTTGCTCTGGGGAAATAGGAAGGGAGGTTTAGTAAGAGAACAATTATATCTTCCTTCTCCCACCTGCTTCAGGCTCTCAGGGAGCAAAACAAAGGAACTTACATTTAGGATCAAGTTGTGCTGAAAAATTTGAAGGAGTTAATTTTAGCTAGGATTTCTCAGAAGTTCCCAGTGTGATAGGGGCTGGGGTTTTTGTGTCCTACAGTGATGATAAAATTGTACCTTCCTGAGGCCTCTTAAAGTGAGTGGGAGGGCCAGCCATAGAGGCTACGGAGACAGAGATCAGGCAAGGCTGATGGGCCTCATTCGACGTTCTTCTAATTCCCTGCCAACATCCAAAATTTAATTGAGAAACAGACGCTGATACTGAAAAGATAACCATCTGCTCCAAGTAAATGCACCGGGACATCTTTTAATTTAGGATGCTGCAAACCAAAGTTAACAGTC